AAGTTTTTTTGCAGTTAAGGAACGGTCTTTGATTTTGCCGAGTGAGGTGCAAGTCGCTGAATTTTGCCATCTTTCTAGATGTACAATGAGTAAAATATATCAAAATAACTTGTAGGGAAATGCATTTTAAAAATCCGTGCTTATTTTTGAAGAAAAATGCCTCTCAATAAATACTTTTTTGCGAACATTTCTTCTTTTCCCATACCTTCAAACTAAACCAAAAGCTGGTCAATTGAATGACGAAAGGAAGCGAAGGTAAATTAAAATCAAAACTGTTTTTACTTAATTACCAGTGGTTTGGGTTGGTTTATATGATTACGAAAAGCCTCCAGGGTTAAATGCCTAAGAGGAGGGATGCATTCGTGGAGGGCTTGCTAAGGAAAACTGCCTCGTATACACGTTACACATGGGGAAACACCCATGCAGCCAGCCCGTTCACGGGATTCAAACCTCGGACCGAACTACAAGTGTTCAGTGACTTTACCGATCGGCCGCTGCTGGGCCTCTTAATTACCAGCGCCCATTTATGCATCATGATGCTTTTTATAGACACTGTAATAGCTTGGTAACATAATAAAATGTTAAAATCAGAACAAAATTAAGGTCTCTTAAATTATTCAGTTACCTATTTTATATTTAAAATTATACGAAATTTATATAATTATACAAAATTTGGCTTTTATAACTGCAGTGAGCATTGTTCCATAATATAATTTTGTATTAATATTTTTCATAATAAACAAAACTTAGTTAATTCAATTAAAGATTAAAAATTTATTTTTTAAGCAAATTATACCATGGCTTTGGGTCCCCAAGAACACAGTAATGGGAAATGAAGCAACCATTCAGTGTTCTTTATTATCCACGGGGGGGTTTTGCCTCTGCCGAAGGCTCATTGTTGCCCACTTTTGGTAATCTTTCATTTACATAGTGGCAAAGAAAATATTGAACCTAGAAATATCCTTACAACTTGACCAAAGCTATCAGATGAAGAAGAGGAATGCCTTCGTGAGGACTTTTATAGAGGTATAACATCTGAAAAGTCATCTGAGTCACTGTCGCAAGATTCCGTTCTTCTGAATCAGAAATCAGAATCGCTGCTGCCAGTTTGAATTAGTAATCCATCCACTATCCTCTTCTAAAAGTTCGTCCTTGTCCCAATAATAATTTTCAAGTTTTTCTACGTGGTTGCAGTGCGCCTGCCATTCTTGAGAAGTGACTTCATATGCAAAGCTTTTTGTGTTAAATTTTTCAAATTTTCCAAGCTTAAGTCCCCCCAGTCACATTCCTTTCCCTGATCAGTCTTTTAACTGATGACCAAACGTATTCAATTGCGTTTAGATCACAGTGGTAAGGAGGGAGACGTACAACATGATGCCCATTTTCCTTTATGATGTGTTGTAAATTTTATATATTACTTTTTTTAGGACGATTGCATTCTATTAAGCTGAACGGTTCCGCTTTTCGCATTTTGGGATCGCAGCATATCGTCTTCTTCATCAGCCAATTTACCATTGTTTGCCTTGTAGCATATTTCGTGGGTGTCGGATCTTCAATTTTTGTGTGATAACGGGGCATTATCCATGCATACCACACTTTGAGGTCGTAAAATTTGGAAGAAGCTTTTCCTACACCCATTTTCAAAATTTCCATAGTTCATTTGCCCATGGTAATCCCCGCTTTGAGCTGATGCTTTATAATAAGTTTGGGCACTTGGAATAAATCCTGCGGAAGAGCCAGCATGGACAACAATCAGTCTTATTTTGGAACTGACATTTATCTGTGCGCCCAAAACCGTATCATGCTGCCAACATTTCTTAAAAGTTAAAATTGCTGTCAATCCATGTTTCATCGATGTAAACGATGTGGCATCCACTTTCTCTGAGTTTCCTCATTTCGCGTAAATAATTGTTCCTCCAAAATACAATGTGGAAGTCTTTCGATAAGATTTTTTTTTTTTTTTTTTTTTTTCTGTTAACGCATTTCTTCCAGCGAACGCCAATTCGTTGAACGCAATGAACTTTTTGCACAAAGAGTCCTTTTGTCACGGGAAGTATATTCTTTGCCTCAAGCCAGGCAGTAATTTCCGCACAGATGGCGCTTTCCTTTTTTTGACGTAAAAGTATTGTATTATCTGCCGTATAACCCGTTTGTCAAAATCGTCAATTTCGCACTTATGATTAGCAGGGCTTTTACATTTCTTTCCAGGTGTATTCACAAGTTTGATTCTTCACTCATTGTTAATACTTCGCGCTTAATTTTTTTAATTGTATACTCCGATACTCCAGTAGCTTGAGATGTTCTCTTCAAAACTTAAGGAAGAGGAACTACTAAAGAGTTCGCCGAGCTTCAGAAGCGCAAAATTCTGCGACATTGTACACTATTTGACGTGCCTGAGACTTTAAAGGTTGACCTTTCTTAAACTGGAAGGGCATTTTAAAAAATTGGCGATTAACAAAGCACTACGAAAATCAAGCTAAATAGAAGCAAATTTTGAACAAATACCAGTACAGATATAACAACGAGAATAAAATAGCTAATAGTAATAATATAAGGCTTAAGAAAAGATGCTGCAGCTGGAATGAAACCAAGAAGACGAATGATAAAACTCTTTTCCCTTCAGCCAACAGTTGCCAAAAAACAAAATAACAATAAAGCAACCCTTGGTTCGTCCCTATTTGAAATTACTAGCCCTGTTGCTATAGCGACCGCCACCCGCCACAGACACCGTGGCGGGAGGTGTTCTTACCGTAGACGACAGTACACAAAGGATGAATTTCATTGCATGATAAAATACATTTTCGAGTTTTTTACATCAGTTAGAAAACCTGTGACATATTTTTAGGATAACTGTTTTTATTAGTCAACCTAGAAAATATCCACTACAGGTTTTCCCTTTGATAAATAAAATAAATATATCTCCTTCACCAATTCTACAGGTTTAAACCAAGAATTTCCTTGCCTTACATTTATAAAACACATAACCTCTTTATGAAGTGTTTGAGATATTTTATCAGAAACCATTAATTGTTTTAATGTTTCAAAGTCATTTACCTTTCTCAGTTTCAAATAATAATCCCAACTCATATTAATCTAAACGCGAACTACACATAAGTTTCATTCGTCATTCTTGTGTCTTCCTAAAATTTTTCTAAACAAATTTGGGGGGATGGTTCAAATTCTCTGAGCACAATTTCTTTAACCTTCGAATAATCCCTAATTCGTCGTCGTTAATGTATGTAATAACATTGTGGCTTTTTCTCCCAACAATTTAGAAGAATTTCTGTTTAAATTTCTCTGGAACACTTTTTTGAAATGAACGCCCTTTCTAACGATGAAAAGAATAACCCCAACCTTCCGGTCTAATTGGAATTTTAGTTGTTAATGTGCGTATTCTTTTAATAAGAGTCAAGAGATTCTACATTTTCTCTTTTCTCATATTATATGTGGTTTCACTCTTTGATTCTGCTCGCAACTTCGCGAGTTCTAGTTCCGATTTTGCTCGTTCCTATTTTTTTTTTTTTTTTTTTTTTTTTTTTTTTTTTTTTTTTTTTTTTTTTTCAATTTCTCAAGTTTGAGCAATCGCTCTTGTCATTTTCCTTTCGTTGATAATATTATTAGCACCTTCAACTTACTGTTTTTAATTATATCAGTTAAATCTGATATAGTTTTCACTTCTGAAATGTCCAAATTCAGCTCTATAGCAATACGCTGATAATCTTCTTTTTTTTTTTTTTTTTTTTTTTTCACTTTTAAACATTTTGAATCTACTTTTTCAATTACACATTTATTACAATTAAGGCCACCTACCTTCTATTTAAGAGTAATCCACTAGTTTTCTTCCATAACACTTGTCTTTTCCGATTTTGACACACAATTCGAACTCCGGATGGGTCAGTAAGGACCAACAATGGGCCCCATCAATAGCTCAGTAAAAACTCATAATTAAATAAATCACTTTACACAAAAACTCAAAAATGGACTGTATACTAAAATTTATTAATTACTGAAAAAGCCTCATAGTTACTTCACATCTCTCGGCAGCGTCTCAGAACACACTTAAACTCAATACAAGTGCCCGCCAGGTGGAGCTATAAAATCATCAGCGAACACAAATATTACATATTTTTCACAGATGGCACCTCTGGCATCAACATTATATGAAATTGCTTACTAAAAAATATCATGCAGTATTAAAACATCCCAGAAAATTACTTGTCAAACTGCAACATAATCGGGTGCAATGAACCTATTAGATCATTTCACCTGTCAACTGGAAATGAATAAATAGTATATTCACTGACTGACCTTATGACTGCCAGTGGCAGTAGAAGATGGGAAACTAATTAGATGAAGAAGGAGTGACAACGTTTCACAGAGGCAGGGCAAATAAAATTGCTTGAAGTGTGCCTAGCAGATCAAATATGCCTGAGAGAGAGTGAAAAATTTTTTTGTAACTGGAAGTGTATGTCTACAACCAAAGAATGTGAAAATAAAAACTGGGTAAAGACTTTCATGGACACAGTGTATAAGTCATGTAAAGAAAATGAGATTATTAATCGCATGACATTTGCTGGGTCACATTTCTGAATGAATTCTTTATCATTTAAAATTTTTGTACTATAAACCAATGAGAAAATGAGTTAGAGGAAGGTCTTGGATGGTTGGACTATATCAATAGTAACTGTAATGTTACTAAAATTACCACTTGGAGAAAGAGGGCTGTAGCCAAACGGGAAAAAATTCTAAGGAAAGCTCTATCCCTTTCTGGGATGACATGGTAGCAGAATTAAGTGGTGCCAGATAATTTACCTCAACCTTTTCTTTCAACTTTTATTTATTTTTTGGATTGTCTTTAGAAATTGTCATTAGTTTGCTATTTATTTGCTGGAATTATTTTACATTAATGAAATATTTAAAATGATAAAATATGTAATATGTGGAGTAATTTTTTTTAATTTACATGTCTGATGTGTTCATGAATAATTTATTATTTTTAGTTTGAGGTTTTTACATTCTGGAAGTCCATGAAAGTTGTTGTTATTGAAATCACTAGCATGAATGATGTTGTTGAGGCAAATGTGTCCAAATTAGTCTGTGATCCTGTTTCTCCAGGATTTTGTCATTTCCATAAAAAAAGAAAAGTTCTGTTTGTTAAATGTCAGGTAAGATCACTATTGGCTTCCACTTTCCATCAAAGTCACTGATATTCTAGTGAAAACATAAGGTTTTAAATTAACTATAATTTCAGATTTAAATAGGTTGGTTTGGAACTTCAGGTTATATCCAACTTAAAAAATATGATTAGTATTTTTCTTTTGTTTTCATTATATAGTATTCACATTTTTAAATGTGCTGAATTATTTCACATAAATTTTTTGAAACATGAAAAAGATCTTATTTAATATTGTAGAAATTAGCAATAATATTTTGTCTTGTTATATATTATCCTCTCTCTAATCTAAAATGACTTCATTAGATGGGATGTTGTAATACAAAAGGATATTAAACTTTGCATATCGGGTGGCACTAATTAATAAATGCAGAGAGAATATTTTAGAATAAATATTTAGATGTTTTAATAGGAAAAGTTATGAATAAAATTATATTTTAAGTATGATAATATGTCAAATAGTGAAATAATAAACATTTGAAAAAACATATATATATAAATATTTTATGTCGTTTAGAATGTTTTTAGTAATGCTCATTCATTAATGGTGTTTTTTGATATGCATCATCACTGCTGGAAAACTATTAAGGGCTGCATGATAATTTTAAAAGTATTAAAAATCTGTCAAAAATATATTGGGAATATTATTGTAAATATGTTATCATTTTCCAATTTCATTTATAAGTCCATTACCATACTGTGTGTCCATCAGACAACATTGCTTCATGTTATCATGGTGGTGATGTGTTAGACGTGAAGATGTTCAATAACTTTAACAGTTTAGTGGCTATGCTTATCCAAAGTAGGATCTGGTTTTTGCCATATCATGGTGACCTGTCCAGTTGCTACAAAATTAAGCAGGCCAGTTACATTTATAAAGACTGTTTATTCATTACTCCATGCTAGACTTTGCTCCACTGTTCGAGGTCCACCACAGTAGAATCCTTTCTCCTATTTCTTACACTGAAGAAGTATTCCTTTGTTCCAAATGTAGCTCTACAGCCTTCGTAATTGCAGCCACTAACTCAAGTATAGTAAGTGTGGACGAAAAGCCAAACAAAATCTAGAACAAAAGGGAAGAGACTATTATTAAATGAAGGTATGAATAATAACAGCAACCGTCACCACAGCCTTTGCATGCAGTAGTAATGCCAAACAGCAGTCACTCATCAGACTGTAGAAAAGGGGGAAGAAAAGCCAACTGTGAAAAGGACAGCAGGAAGAGTAGTAGCAGCAAAAACCAAAAAAGCCACAGGCTTTACAAATTCCCACTATTTATAAGCTGGTACAGTTAAATCAAAAGTTAAGCATCTCAGCCAATGAAAATTTCTGCAGTGGAAGAATAACCAAACATAATATTCCTCTTATCTCTTATCAGACAAATTTAAACTGAAATGAGTTCTTGTCTGATGAAATTGCTTAGTCATGTTACAACAAACCTGTTTGCAGAAAAAAAAAATGTCGCCAAAAGAAATAGGTGAAATCTCTTAGCTCTTTTCATAAAGTAGTAACAATTCTGAAGACTTAAATTTAATGTGACATATAAAGGACTGTCGGATGAAAATGAGACAGATAGAAAAAAAGTAAGTAAACTGTTCATTATTTCAAAAGTAAGCCCCATAACTGTTAATACATTTATTTCACTTCCACTGTGAGACAGGGTGGTCAGTACCATAATGGAAAAATGTTTTTGGTTGTCTACAGAATCGTGATTGTACCCAGGTATGCACCTCTTTATCCGAAGCAAATTGATAGCCATGTCTTTCTTCAGGGCTCCAAAAATACAGAAATCTTAATGGGAGAAATCGGACTGTATGGAGGATGGATTAGCACTTCCTAGCAAAACTTTTGAAATGTAGCCTTAACAACCATGGCAACATGGAGGCGGGCATTATCCTGCAACAGATTGATTCCATCTGCCAACATTTCTGGATGTTTGGACTTGATGGTGCACTTCAATTTTTGCAAAGTTTTCACGCACTGCTGTGCATAAATTTTGGTGCCATGTTCGAGAAAGTCATTGAGTATTCGGTCCTTGCAGTAAAAGAGAGAGAGCTGGCATGTACAGCTTTGGATTTTGTTTGATTGGGGGTTAATCCATTTGCTTCCATTGTTGGCTTTGACACTTGATTTTCAGCTCAAAATGATAACACCATATTTTATCTTCCATACCAATATGAGACAGGAAATGATATTCTTCATTGTGATACCATTCCGATTGCTACAGTGATGTTAACATTCTGTCCAACTTCTGCTCCTCCATCAGGCTGTGGGGAAGCCACTGTGCACAGATTTTCTGGAACTTCAGATGCTCTGTCAGGATGGTGTAGGTGGTACCATGACTAGTACCTAGTATGAGCTGAATGTCTTCCATCATATGCTGTCAGTCTTCCCTGATGGCAGCATCCACCGCAGCAATGACAGAGGAGTTAATGACACAATGAGCCTCTCCTGGTCTTTCAAATTACACTTGACCATCTCGATATTGTTTATTTGATTCAAACGCATGCATACATGACATACTGTATTGGCCATACACAGCAGACATTCGGGCATGAATTTCACTTCCTAACATTCCTTCCACAATAAAAAAATGCATTATAGCATGCTGTTCCTCTTTCCCTGTCTCCATAGTGAGAGCAGATGCACACGTGACTTGCTGACTTCACTTTGTGCACATCTAATAGACAAATAACAGAACAGTGAGCATTTGCAGTAAAAGAAAAAGAGAGCTGGCATGTACAACTTTGGATTTTTTTCCTGCTTCCCAAAAGAGGGCTCTTCTATACACAAACCTACCTGCATTACTAAACTGCCTGGTTTTCATTTGACTGCCCCTCATAGGTAAGAGGTGCACACCAATTTAAAAAGTAATCAAAATTCAACCTTGATTTATATATATTTCAAGAAACAAGTTTTGTATTTTATCTTGGTTGTGATTATTATAAAAAATAAGTTTGTTTTTTTTTTCACTCAAATAATATTCAATCTAGATGAAATGTTTCTTATTATTACAGGTTTTAAGTTTCTCTTTAACATTATTATAACTTTTCTATGAAGTAAGCTTCTGATTGATGCAGTGGAGTAGCGAGCATAACTGGTGCCCGGGGCAAAATACCTTTTTGGCGGCCCCTCTTCCCTGAAAAAAAAAAAAAAAAAAAAAAAAAAAAAACACAGTGATATGATAAAAATCTTGTTTGGAGACCATTTGGCTATCCTCTGCGAGCGGCGCCCTGGGCATCATACACCTCCTTGCGCCTCCCTCGCTATGCCACTGGATTGATGTGTAACATAATTTTAATTTTTCTAATGCTTATAATTTTAGGATTGAAGTATATTTGTTGTGATGAGTGTAATTTATTTTATTAATCTATTTTCCTTCTAGTTTTATTAAGTTTGAGGAAAAAGGTTTTTTAAGTACATGGAACTGGGCCGTTAAAAAAGGCACAATTTTGTAGTTATATTTTGTAGTGTTTTCATAAAAAGCAATGAAACATTATTTGGAATTTTTTATTTTATAATTCTGAATAAAAACCTTTTAGTATGTTATTTTTCTCATCTTAAATTCCAAGAGAAGAACCAATAATTTATTTTTTAATTTAAAGAAAATTATTTTATAATAAGATGTTAAAAAAATATAAAAATTTGTTTTTTAGGATGGATGGTTTGGAATAACAGTTGTGAAAATACCAAAAAGAGGCAAAATCACAGCTCTTGATTTTTACAATGGCTTTATGAGCAAGGAAATTCCGAAAAATTGTTACTTCTTTCTGAATAAAAATCCTTCTTGACTTTGTACCATTTAGATTGTGATTTCTTGGATTTTATTCTCATGAACCTAATTTTCACAATATTGTATACAAGAAATTAGTAAGCAAGCTTTCTCTGCTATTATATTTTGTTAGTTGTTCAGCTTACCATTTTTTAATTTTTCCTGGTGTCTTAACTAATTGGATCTTACTTTGAAAATGTGAACAAATGTTGTTATTGAGATTCCAGCACAATTTTTCCAGTTGGAACTGTGCATAGCATGCCATTGTTGCTGTGAGATGGCTGTCAGATGTATAATTAGAGTTAGACTCTTAGAAGTTTAAATGAATATCAGATACACCTAAAGCAGGGATGGGCAAACTACGGCCCATCGGAAAGTTCTATCCGGCCCGCGGATAGAATTTTAATTTGCCGGTCCAAGGCAAATTAAAAGAAATATATATTTATATATTATATATCTATCTCCACTTTGTTTAAATATTTTTTTCTTCCTTTTTTTCGAAGGGCTGATGATCTTTTTACTTTTTTCTATTTTTATTCTACAAAACATAAATCGATGGAAATAGCAAGCACAGACATCTTTCAATCGGTAAAGTGTTAAAAGCGGAAGTTCTTTGTCAGTTATAGCTGTAGATTGGAGCCAACAACCTCCAGCCAGTGGCTTTTTCTTTTGGTGCGACTTCTAATATTATTGATTGCGTATGGAAAGATTGCAGATATACAGCATCATTGTGAATAGTGGTAAAATTGTTAAAAGTAAAGCGTAGCTAGTGCTTGTTTGGTTTATTCATAAAATATATCAACCCCAAAATGGCTGCTAAAAAACCTAAAGTTTATTTAGAGTACCGTGCTTTTAATGATGAATGTGGACCTGAAAATATTTTTTTACAGTTGTAAAATATAAACCAGTGTGTCTCATTTGCAGTGAAGCTGTAGCTGTCCTGTCTTCAAAGAATAAACATTTCTCGTCATTTCACATCTAAGCATAAGAATTCCAATTACGAAGCAATGTCCGAATGTGGAAGAAAACAAAATGCAGAAAGTCTTTGTAAAAAATTATCAGGCCGACAATTTTTTTTCAAGAAGGTAAACAGTATCCAAGAAGCATCTAAACAAGTTACATTGTAGCAAACAATATTGCTAAAAATAATTAAGCTCTCAGTGATGGGGAGTTCGTTAAACAGCGCATGCTCCAAGTTTGTGATTTTTTGTGTATAAATAAGATAAGTAATTTTGAGACTATAAGCTTATCTCAAAAAACAGTGACTTCTAGAATCGAAGACATTTATACAAATTTGACATCACAATTAGAGTCAAAGATTAGCCAGTTTAAATTTTGCTCCATAGCTATGGATGAAAGCACTGATATAAATGATACTGTTCAAATAGTATTATTTATAAGAGGTGTTGATGAGAACTTTGAAATTACCGTTGAACTGGCGTGCATGCGTTCTTTAAAAGAAACTACAACGGGGAGGGATATTTTTCGTGTATTTCAGGAAGGGCTTTGAACTTTGAAGTGCCTATAACAAATATATGTAATATTACGACCGATGGAGCACCAAATATCACAGGAAAAAATCTGGATTTCTTGGACTTTTTAATCAAAACTATCCAGGGAACAATGTCGTTTTTCTACATTGTGTTATACATCAAGATGCTCTATGTGAATCTGCATTGATTATGAAACCCATGCTTGATGCAGTCATGAAACTTGTAAATACTATTCGATCTCGTGGACTTACTCACAGGCAATTTCAAGATTTTCTTCCGTCCGTGCAATCTGAATACTCTGATGTACTGTATTACACGAAAATAAGGTGGCTTAGAGAAGGATGTGTTTTCGAGCGAGTTTGGCAGCTGAAAGAAAGAAACAGTGTTCTGCGGGGTGCGAAGTGTTAGAAGATACAGAATGGCTTTTGGACTTTGCATTTGTCACAGATCTTTGTCATATGAGCAACTTGAATGTCAAGATCCAAGGGGAAAATCAATTTATCGACGATATCCGTGCCCATCTCAAAACTTTTAAATTAAAACTTACAACTGTTTGCTGGGCAGCTAACTAAGAACGACTTGTCTCATTTCCTGAGGTTAAATTCAGTGAAGAGAAGCTTAACAGATATGAAGATGGCATGAAAATAACTGCATTTTGAGTTCGAACGCAGATTTCAAGATTTCTGTGCCATTCAAACAGAATGGAATATTTTTACCATGCCTTTTAACATAAATTGTGAAGAAGTGAAGTCAGATTTGCAGATTGAATTAATTGAGTTGCAATCTAATAATCATCCCAAGCAGTTGTTTCTAAATGTGCCAAACTTAGATTTTACAAATCATTATCGAAAGTAAGTTTCCCAAATTTAATATTTCACCCCCAGAAAATCAGTGTTACATTTGCTTCATCTTATATATGTGAAAAAGTGTTTTCAACTCTCAACCTTAAAAAGAATTATTTCAGAAGTAGACTGACAGATGAGCATTTAGCCTCGTTCCTTAGAATTAGTACCTCTAACTTCAAACCTTAATATAAGGAACTTTTAAAAATGAAATCGCAATTTCATTCATCTCATTAACACATTTAATTTTTAATACTTGTATATTTGTTTTTAAAATTTTAGAAAAATTTATCTTGGCCCGCCAAACTTTTTTTTAAAATAGATTTTTTGCCAGCGACAGAAAAGTTTGCCCATCCCTGACCTAAAGCATGGAATTTTTTTCTCCCCTCTCCTTGTGCTGAATTTAAAATGTCCGTATATTTAAAGACTGCAATAAATGTGAAAACATCAGCACAATTTACAGCTGGCAATTTGCAGTCATATAAGACTTTAATTTTTAACTTATAATTTTATTTTGGTGTTAAAAAATTGTGATCTGAAACTTACTACTAGATATATATCAAAATGCTTTAGAAAAGATTAAGTAACATATATACAGATTTCAATATTGAAATAATTATGTAAAAGTACTGAGTTTCATACACAAGAAATTCTCACAAAAACTCTCAAATCGCATTTATTGTTCTAATGCTCTTTTTTGTTTGTTTTGCTTTAGTATAAGGTGTTTTACTAAATGGCTCTGTCATAATTTTCAACACGTTTTATGTACACACATACATATGGTTTCCAGCATGCCATAGTTTATAAATATATTGCACTAGTCTTAAAAAAATACTTCACAAACACCTCAATACATTCAAATCACATACTATACGATATCGAAAGCCTTTGTAACCCAAGGTTAAACAGAAGGGCTAGTTCATTCCTTTGAGAGACTCCTCGCCGACGCGACCCTCATAGTGAAAGTTAACTAGAAGTAATATGAGGTCACTGTTCAAGGAAATTCAAGGAATATTCAAGGAAATTCAAGATTTTAAGAGCTCATACTTAAGTGTTCACAAAAACGATCAATCCCACAAAAAGTCAAACTCAGGCACACTATACACATTCAAAGTCTTGCTCGTTTTTCATGGCTCACCAATCTGGGAAACAACATCCTTCCACTCGTATGTCAAAATATCAGGCTTTTTCTGGCCACTGCCATAATCTCCCACACCTTTTCATTGAACTGATTGTGGCTTCTTTCTTTGTGGCATGCGTTATCTTTCCTGGGTTAATATACACCTTGATAGACAAATAGAACAAATTCATTGATTTTTGTGTTACGGATTTGGTATTTAAATAGCTTATGTTAGTTGAATTGTAACTTAAATGATTTTATTTCCCGCGCAGTGCAGCGCGTGACGAATATTAAAAGAAAGCTAAGCCGAAAAATTGAAAATACAAGAGCGCGTGCATGTAACATTTAATAAATATCTCTTTTTGATTTCGAGAAAAGTACAAGAAAATTCTCGCGCGCGATTTTAAAATCTATAATAAAGGAGGAAAACCTCTCAGTTCGTAGTAGTTACTTAGTTTGTTGTTGTTTTAAGAGTTTGTTTAGAAAACTGCTCTTGTAGCGAATTCGCGGATTAGCTTTCTCTAGCTGTTTTGAAGTTAAGTTCTCTTGAACGTTTGAGTAGTTAAAAGATAACTACTGTGAGATATTGTAATACTGCACGAATATTTTAGGAAATTTAAGCATATTTGTTGTGATAATAATAAATTTTATTCATTTATCATCGGAGAGCATTCATTTCGTAACGAACCCGTACGCACGCAACAATAGAATCCTGTCTTCGAAGTTTATGTATCTATTCTTTCGTCAAAAGCAAATTGTCCTTTGGGAAAGCATGAAATACAATATCTCTTCTTTCGTATTTCTATAAGTGTTACGGCACGTTGCTAAAGCACATGAATCCATATCACATAAAGGATACTTTAAATACAGTATTTAAAAGGAAAACTGACTAAAACTATATATTTATATACACAAATTATTTAAAATATTTGCATTTTTAGAAAACAAATATGTATGATTAAAATTAAGTTGGGATATGCGACCTCCAGAAAATCGTCTCACAACTGAATGAAACTACAGTTTTAAAAGCGCGAAATCAAAGCGAAATGAATGCACAAGTCCGATGATAAATGAATAAAATTTATTATTATCACAACAAATATGCTTAAATTTCCTAAAATATTCGTGCAGTATTACAGTATCTCACAGTAGTTATCTTTTAACTACTCAAACGTTCAAGAGAACTTAACTCAAAACAGCTAGAGAAAGCTAATTCGCGAATTCGCTACAAGAGCAGTTTTCTAAACAAACTCTTAAAACAACAACAAACTAAGTAACTACTACGAACTGAGAGGTTTTCCTCCTTTTATAAGATTTTAAAATCGCGCGCGAGAATTTTCTAGTACTTTCTCGAAATCAAAAAGAGATATTTATTAAATGTTACATGCACGCGCTCTTGTATTTTCAATTTTTCGGCTTAGCTTTCTTTTAATATTCGTCACGCGCTGCACTGCGCGGGAAATAAAATCATTAAATTTACAATTCAACTAACATAAGCTATTTAAATACCAAATCCGTAACACAGACATGTCAGATTACTTCCAGTTAACCCCCTCCATAAGGCTGGCGTCGGC